GTCCAGATCCCTCTCACATCCATCCCAAAGAACTGTCTCCCAGATTTGTGCGCCACGCCTTGCATCCTCCGGCGGGTATAAATATCGGCGTGGGCGTGTATTTGGTGACCAGCTGAGGCCAGAGAAGGTCGAAGAGTGGTGTGGTCATTGGAATGAGGATGTACTTGGTCGTACTTGTAGACTCGATGAGACGAAGATAGGAGTCAAACTCGTTGGGAGCGAAATAACGACGTGGATGAGTAATTTGGAATTTTGCCTCGTGGGCCAACTTCTTTGATATTGCGAAATTTGACTGAACTTGGCTCTGGGAGAATATTTCACTCCCAGGTTCGTAGAGGACACCGCGTACAGGTGTTCAGTCTTGCCCTCCCTTTGAGGGTAGTGTTGTGATGTGATTATTGCATTTACTCTAAATTTATCTCTGCCGAGTGCCAGGGATACAACACATCTATGCAAGTACTGCACAGCCCTACATGGCTATCATTACGATGGACTATTGAAGCGCAGCTCTATACAATGGCATAGAGTAATGTGGGATAGTATGACATGGAATTAAGATTGTAGTAGTTCATGCATAGACGGTGATGTACTGTATAGCGGGTGCCTATTATGTGTATATAAGTCCTATCTACTACTGTGATATGTAGAATAATATAACCAAGTTATTCATCATATCGTCAAGCTCTGATAATCCTTATCCACCCTCTGCACTATCCCTAGAATATTCAACATCTCATACCTACTCATACCTTAATTACAACAGGTAGCTCTGAATCTATTCCGGGTTTCGGCTATCTAGACTAGAGTACCTCTAGAGTCCTTGTACCTGCGTGAGATAGTCTTGCATTCCTCGTTCCACCACTGTGTCACCGTTCCAGTGGCCTCTAGTGCTATACACCCTATTGCTTTTCGAGCATCTTCGAGTTCCTTTAGCAGTGCAGAGTCCTAGAGCTCTATTTCTAGTACATCATTCAAAAGTCCTGGCTTCAGCCAAGTTTTGTTGTACTGGGAGAATTTTTCGGGGCTCTGGTCACATACGAGTGGTTCCTGCGAAAAATTCAAAATATGTGATATTTTCTTTGTCTAAGAAGATCCTACGACTGTTATGTGATCTGATTCAAAATTTATTCTAGTTAATAACGCCATTATTAGGATCTTGCTCTACACCGGGTCGAGTAAGCTTTCTTAGAGTGAATATGATTCTTTAAACACCGCCGCGGTTGGATATTACACTGGTATATGATCTGGGCTGGGCTCATAAGTAGATTCTGGGTGGCTTGGACAGCTATCCCACTCGATACAGGAGACTGCTGGTTCGAATCCGGAAAAACTGAATTGCGTTTCTCGCGGTGTTTACTCTTGTGGATGACGATACATACTTGGGTAATCAGATGTTATGAAACGTCCCTTTAGTAGGTACTCAAGGAAGAGAGTTATTAAAAACTTAGTCCTTGTATTGTGTAATGATCACTTTAAGGAGTTCTAATATAAAACATGGAAGGTAGACTTGTCTATGAAATCAACTCGTTGGAGGTATCTGAGAATTATCCATAAAAACGGATCCAACACTCGATATTTACATCTTGAGTGAGGGTCCGTGCACGCTAACAAAACAACCCAATAACCACGTGATAAACAAGCTAATTGTACAGGGTATCTTGCTCTCCGGTTCTCCTAACTCCTGGCTAATGATGACAACTCAGACCCACAATAAGGGTCATGAGGATCCTGGAATTGCAATGCATTAGACTTATTTCTCAACAAGAGTTGACTTTTTGTATGGGCAAACATACCTCAAAATGGTATTTGTGGGTAAAACCAAGAGCATGGATGTCCCTAGCATCAAGAGTCATCTAACATGTATACATAGTACTGATCCTGTGTCATAGCTAGGTATCTTAATACACATTAAATATTTTCGAAGAAAAATAGTACATTTCCGCTCCGATTTGTTAGAACCCCGGCTCTGGTTACTAGATGCGTGTCGTGAGCTGTTGCAACTCCATTATCTGTTATCCATTGCCGTATTGATGTGAAGTTTATGGGTCCAGTATTTTGATAATGAGTTAAAATCTTCTCCAACTTCTGTAGGTCCTGAAGGTCTCCACAGTAGTAGTGGATCTAGAGTACCACTTAGGCCTGGCACGCTGTCGACATTTACAAATATTTTTCCAGAAACTTGTATTAAAAAGTAGTCAACTGTTTTACCTGAAGATGGGGTTAGCTGATAGTTTTTTTTTGAATCATATTGTATTCAGCTATCTAGCTATGACAATTAAATATCCATTTATTTTTACATTGCAGAATGACACCAGTTAACGCCCAAAATCACTTCTCTATTTGTCTTTATGTACATTATTTATGTGCCTATATCATCTTCTTTGTATGCTGATATACACCTGGAAGTTTTCAAAAATTCTAGAAGGGCTTCCTTCCCCCTTTTGGTTCTCGATAAAATTTGTAATGAAAGAAGCTTTATGTCAACAAATGCTAATTCCCTTTGCTTGCAATATCTGGCACAATGAAGAATTAACTAGCTGAAAGTTGCGCAGGCCTTGTGTGGGTGAAAGTGATTGCCCGAGACTGAGCTCTTCTCCCACCAGTTGGGATATGGCTATCAGAGCTAGTGTATCCTTTAGTGATAAAGCTTCCTTCTTTTTCTATCGTCCATGATTTCTGAACCATCACAACGCGCACCCCTACTTCCCATGCTTTTTGTAAGTCTATGTCCATATTTTCTCCACCCTTTCCCGCGTTCAACTGGTAAATAGGAAGAGTACAGATTTCTCCTATGATTTTTTTAAGATTTCGGATTCCTAACATCAAATTGGTATAGACGTTTCGGGGGTAGAGATAACTTCTAAAGCCTTGCCCTTACTTTCTGAACGCTCTGGTGTGGCGTTAAAGTAACGACGTCTACGCTTGCGGATAACACGCAACTCCACTGGTGTACTAGATAAGATTGTTCCCTGTTTGCGTTTGTACCATTCCATAAATATGAGTTCAAAAGAGTAGTGACTCATTCATGATAAATTAATTGTAAATTGCAAAATTCTACTGTGATGATCCTGTACATTGAAGAGCCTTCATTCCAAATTCGGAACATGGCTGTCAATAAAGTTTGTATAAAGATGGGTTTTGCAACGGGGCGCTTGGTCTAGGGGTATGATTTTCGTTTCGCACCATGAAGTAACTACGAAAGGTCGTGGGTTCAATTCCCACAGCGTCCATCATTTTAGTCTAAATTCGGCTAAAATTTACAGAATGTTCCAGGTTCAAGATCACGGCCAAACGACTCGTTTAACGCTGGCTGCAATTAGTAATGGAGAGATGTCATTTTTAATAGATGATGACCTGGATGGAATCCTAATATAGTTTGCCATTACAAATTTAAGATAGGCATACAGGGCTCTGTTAACACTTACACAGAAGAAAAGTACCCGGATTGATAGCTATTGAAAGGCTGTGCTGAGCTGGAATGACGTACCGTTAGGATGAAGGTATGGAAGGAGCTAGCTATGGCTTTAAGAGAAGTAAAGTTCGTGAGTTATACTCTTAGAACTTGGATCAATGGACGAACTTGAGGATATTCCCTAGTATTCTCAAGTGTGTGAATAATATGGAGATTGTTTGAATTTCCTATTGTATGAATTGCTTATATTATCTACATGACAGGACCTTCCTCTATATACATGAATAAGGGAGTTTCTGCATACTAGTGGATGTTCCAACATATCTCCTTGTCTAACCAACAAAGGAAGGATGTGAGAAATCCTAGCGCCAATAGATACCATTAGGAATCTATTGGGAAATACTATGTCATACCAATGAGTGATGACCTAGGTCAATCATATACCATGGTGCATGTGCACATTATTCAAATGTGAACAGTTTGTTGTAATGCAGTCATGTTACTCCCTTAATTACAACAATAGGTACTAATTATTCATGTGTCTTCCAATCGTAGAAACCCAACCATATGTTTATGATCTGCCCTCAATGGTCAAATGGTAGGGCGAAGATCTGTAAAATGGCTCGACACTTGTCATACCAAACTATGATAAACAAACCAGGGTACACCTAATGAATTACACGGTGGATTAGAAATCATGGCTGGGTAGAGCAATTCTTGGGGTCGATAAAGTGGATGTGGTGGTTTCCATGGATCGCACTGTAGTGTAACTGCGCTTCCTGAAGATTATATGTAAAAACTAAAAGCAATAAACAGAAAGGTTGAGGGGGTTTTCAAGTAAGGCTTTCCTGCCACAGATATACTAAAGTTCGTAGACTTATACATGAGTCCTTTTGTTCTAAAAATTATTGAATGTGTATTCAGCTATTTAGCTATGAAACATAACACATGATCGGCGCTATGTGTACATGTTGGATGACTCTTTTGACCTTGGAGACACTCATACTCTAGATTTCACTGGCGAATACCACTATGAGGTGTGTTCGCTTACACAAACAGTCGAACCTCCCCTGTAAGTACTCACCAAAGGGAATTTAAAAATAATTGATGAACCAAGCATGCCTTCGTCATCCATGTATACCAGCGCCGCGAGAAATGAAGTTATAATTTTCTGGTTTTGAACCGGCGATCTACTGTCTCGCATGGAACATGTGTCCAAGCTATCCTGACTTTACTTGGTAGACCAGTCAAGACGATGTACCACCGTACCATCCAGCCATCGCGATGTTTATAGTGTTGCTTGCACTCATGCATGGGTCAATAGGGCGCCAAAAAAGGACATTGAAATTCAATTTCAACACCGACATCCGTCTTAAATTTAGAAAATTAAAATTGGCTCTAGCGAGTAATCATTTGACAGGCTCATTGTTTGTAGTCATGTGACATCAATGTTGGCGAAAATTAAGCGAACACACAACATCAATTTCAACTCGATAACTAACGCAGGACATTCAACAGCAACACCGCGCCATCTGGTCATACACCCAAAATCAGCGCCATTCTCGCCAAATAGTATCATCTAGTCATCATGGGAAGAGGACCGTACGTATATTACTTCATGAATTTATCACCTTCAAATTACAAACGATTCTACTCCAATTTTACCGAGCTAACTCGTTTCGTGACCTATCACTGCGCATTTTTCAATCTTACGTTACTCTCATCTCAAGAAAATATAGCTAATATGACTTAGAAAAAAGCACCAAAAGCGCCTCAGCGCACCCTCTCACTGGCTGCTAGACAAACTATCTGGCGCGTACGCTCCACGGCCCTCTGCAGGTCCCCATAAACTACGTGATTGTATGCCACTGATCGTATTTATCCGAAATCGTCTCAAGTATGCCTTAAACGCACGCGAAACGAAGGCAATTGTCATGCAGCGCCTAATAAAGGTTGATGGCAAAGTTCGGACAGATTCCACTTACCCAGCTGGGTTTATGGACATCATCAGCATCGAAAAAACTGGAGAACATTTCCGTCTTGTCTACGATACAAAGGGAAGGTTCACTGTGCACCGGATTCAGGCCGAGGAGGCTGAATATAAACTCGGAAAAGTAAAGAGAGTACAGTTGGGCAAAGGCGGAATCCCATTCTTGGTCACGCACGATGCTAGAACGTAAGTTCTGTCAGACATCATTCAGCCGTTGGTCCAAGCTTTGGTCGAACCACCTCGAACAATCTAAGACGGACCAACGGCTACTAAATATTAACCAACAATGCTAATTTAAATTCATCTAGAATCCGATATCCCGATCCAGCAATAAAAGTCAACGACACTGTCAAGATTGACCTCGCAACAGGTAAAATCACAGAGTTTGTCAAGTTTGACACTGGTGTTATCGCCATGGTCACTGGTGGTCGCAACATGGGACGTGTTGGTGTCATCACCCACCGTGAGCGTCATGATGGAGGTTTCAATATCGTACACATCAAGGACGCTATAGACAACACCTTCGCCACACGGGAGAGTAACGTCTTCGTTATTGGTTCTGAGAAGCCGTGGATATCCCTACCAAAGGGTAAGGGTGTTAAACTAACAATCGCTGAAGAGCGTGATCGTAGACGAGCCCACGCAATTGCTGCTTAGAGTCTGAACTAATATGTATGGTTTGTTGGAGGTCTATGTAGAAATTTAAATATCAGACTACAAATAGGGCAAGGCTAAAAACAAATGATAATCAAATAAGTAAAATTACAAGTACCCAATTGGTCAGAAGCCTACTGTGACAATATTCATGTTACTTTCAGAAGTACGGAATGAATGCTCCTCCATAAATACACTCTCAACATCTCAGATCCCCATTAATTACCCACAAGATTAAGTCCAGCCATGTAAAACTTGGTTACTAAATACAACATCCAAATGCTTGTATATCTGTCTCACTTTGCATTTGCCTTGTGCGCTTTATCCGGCTCACTTTGATACGGTTTTGACAGTGACGGCACAGAGCCGGGAAAAGCGGAGTTACCAAGTTTCTAGGACGAAGATAATGGCATACGAAACAAAAAAATGCTTTGATGAATTACCCGAAGTAAATTAAAACCAAAGAAGCCTAAGTCATCGACCTGGTGAGTCCTGTGTCTGAGAAAACGTTCCCTGGAATCACTTCGTACTATCCAGGGAGGTTCTTGGCTGGTTAAAATAGTACTACGGTCAAAGATGATGAACTCATTGGGTAAGACACTAAAGGTTTAAGATTGTTGATTTACGATCGCATGTGCTTCACTGTCGGCGATTCTAGACGCATGATAGAAAGCTCAGTGGACTGATCGTTTTCCCTCCCCCTCCCTATCTATCGAATCATCCTCTGTTGCTACTAACCAATCATTCCTATTCGGATGCATTCTTACGAATAGTGTTGAGGCACCAGTTTCTGCTCGCGCTGCCTTTACCCCTTATTCCCTCCACGTCCGCTATTATGTGCTTCACTACGCGCTCGTCTTGCCCGCGCCTTCTGCAGGGCCATCACTCGGCGTTAGATCCTTACATCTCGGCGGAACGCTGAGCACACGTTCGTCCATTATTTCTGGGCTGCGTATCTTATCGCGACGAGGCAATGCCGGGTTAGGATGATCGGGAATGTGTGAGGGGCTCGGGCGCGTGGAAGTTGAGAAGGAAGTTGTATACCATTTTATTTATTTTTATGTCCACCGAGCACTAGTTGCAACTAAAGCCCCATCCCTGAGGGGACACGGTGACTACTAAGTCATACAAGACGTGATGTGCAGTGGCAGAGGCCATGAAAATACATTTAGACACTGCGAGCGCTATGCTGCGGGCACCTCACAAGAATAGCTCATATGTTACGGAGTGGGCAGATTTCTGACAGGAACCTAACCTTCTCCAATATGGTGGCGAAACGCTTAGTTCCTGGGGAGGTGCTCAGAAGAGGATGTTATATATCGGTCAGGGGATAGGGTAGATTGCGGTATGGTATGGTCACTCGCTATCACGCGTTAGATCATATAAATGGAAGTGAAAATTCATTCGTGACGGACACAAGCCCTGCACTCAAAGAGCATGACACGGAGAAGACTAGCTTCTCCGGCGACTATATACGACGATAACTCAGTTTGACATTTGGACAACTCATGTAGTGGGTGCATTCGCTGATACCACTCGAGACCTTGGTGCTAGGGACTTTCACCTTTCCCTCAACCGTTAATATCCACCAAAGAAAAAACATGAAAAACCTTTGGCTACCCTGACATGTCTTTGCCATCTTGTATATAGCCGCCGCGCGAGATATGGCCTCACAGTCTTCCCTCTCTCGAGTGAGGTAGGTGTCCAGGCTACCTAGACTTTAATTCGGGGAGATGACGACGAGGAGGCGGACCAAAACACCTTCCATCGTTGCCTATTTTTAGAGTGCTTGTTGCTCTATCCAAAATCGATGCTTCTGCACCCACAGACAAGCTTAAGTCGGAGACACTCGAAAAATGTGCGTCCTAGCATGCCCATTTGTGACCTCTTCACTCGTTCGTCCCACATCCCAGCTGCCTGTCCTCCCTCAAGATATGAAGCCCCATCAGAGCTACGGTCCCCCATAGACCAAGACACGGGCTTTGTAGATTACGACTTGAATTCCTCCTCGCGGGTATTCATAGCATCGTCAGTGCGTAGTGGGAGATGGCCGGGTTTTCATGAGGCAAATGCCCCATTGCAATTGGAGTAACGCCATTGTCGGTATTCGAGGCGAGGTGGTGTAGTAAGATTGAGGTAGAGGACTCGCGTGAGAATGATAGGTCCGACATTGACGATGGGTTGTCGATTTTAGATGTGCTTGTGAGTGCTTTCGACTTCGATTTGGATGCGATTCTTCTTGGCTATCCCAGATATGCAGAGCATACTGAGCGATTGAGTGCAGCTGACACTATAAAAACAAGCCGACGATGGAAGGTGTTGTGGTCCGCCCCCTGGTGATGTTCTCCAGTAAAGTTTGAGTAGCCTGGACACCTACTCCACTTGGGAAGGAGACATCTCAGATCACATTTCGCGCGGAGAAAAGTTGATGGGTAACGGAGGCATGTCAGGATAACTCAGGATTTCTAAGATGTTTCTCTGGGTGGGTATTCGCGGATGAGGGTTGACTTGGGGTGAAGAAAAAGCCACCATTACTTCGCAGTGGTACGTGCAAATGAAATCCGAGGCATGAGTGCTCCTCTTGTAAATTGAGTCATCTTTTCTGTACTTTTCTTTGATATTGTGTCATAGCTAGGTAGCTGCATACGCAATTAAAATCTGATGCAAAAAAAAAATTCTGAACGATTACATCAACACCACTGGAAGGTGAAAAATTCGTCTTTGCCAGCGTTAGATTAGGTAATATTGTTAGATGTTTTTTTTTTGTTTAGTCTTGTCTTGTTCATTTACGTGCTAGGTAAAGTCATTCCCGTTGCACTACTGCTGGAGCTTAAGCACGTGTAGGGCCGGGCTGGATCAGGTTAACTACCATCAAGTACATCTACCTCGTTCCACCTAAATGACCAGACCACCTCAGACTTCACCCATGTGTTGAATCATGTCAAGCCCAACCGTCTAGAGAACCCCCATTTGACGCGCCGAAACGCAAATTCCACCTCAGCCTCGGTCACCACGCGCCCGAACCCTTGACACCTTCGCGATCTGTAACTTTTCCCTTCCATTCAGTCCCAGCTTTAGCCCGTCTCAGCATCTCCTCATCTCATCCAGGGGCCATTTTCTTCACTGAAGGCCTCATCCAGTCGCCCCCCAAGGCCTCCTCAGTTTGTATCCCTTTTTCTCCCCTGTACAGCATCCCTTTGTCCTTTAGCCAGCATCTTCTTCCAGAAACTTTGTTGAGTGTCCACCCCTGCGGCCTTGCCCCGTCGCTGCCGTACCCCTAACCGTGGAGGTCTAAAACGCGACTGAGAGCTCAAGACCGAGGCACCGGTGCCCCAGTCTTTGTCGAACGCTCTGTTAGTGTGGCGGCGAAATGTCGTACGTATTTCGTCGGTGGCGATTCGTCGCAGGTCGAGTTGTTGGTGCCCTTGGCCGAGGTGAGGACGCATCTAAGGCCGGTATTTCGACCGTACCTTCACAGCGACTGGCAGTTGTGCAGGGTCGGACATCTTCTTGCTTCTTTAATGGCGATTTGGCTTTTGGAGGTATGGGATTGCTTAGGTAGGTGGTGAGATGATTCTTGAGAGGGCCGCGAGATGAGTTTGGCTAGGAATAATTTTCCAGAGAAAAAAAAATAATATTTTGAAGGTGTCGGTTGTTGTGATACGAACATCAGACAGGTTATAGGCTGTCTGCGGTTCGTATCTGGGGTGTAGATGGTTGATTTCATTGAGTTGTGCAGTCGTGAAATCTCTGCATGTCGGATTTTCGACCAAAAATGAGCCAACACCACTCCTCCCGATCGCCAACTCGACGAAAACTCTCAAACGCACCCTTTATGGTGACTGAATCTCGGCTCTGGAAGAATATTTCACTCCCAGGTTCGTAGAGGACACCATTGACATGTGTTCAGCCTTCGTCCTCCTTTTTTTTGTTTAGTATTTGACGTCTAGCTGTAAAACTTAGAGGGGCTTCGTGTAAATGTCACGTGAATCGTCAAGAATGTAAGAGTGAGAGTATGGAATTAATTTACTACTACGTGTCGAGCCTAGGACTATATTGTGTGAGTATTCCCTTGTGCGAAGGGTTGGATGGTGTAGTGGTACGCCATCCGGGCCGTTCTCCCAAGTAGATACTGGGTAGCTTGAACACTTACCCCATTCGGGACAGGAGAAAGCTGGTTCGAATCCAGTCAGACCCACACACCACTCTCTCTCGCGGTGATATTGTACTTGTGTGATGATGAAAGCACACTTGGATAGCCACAGGGTTTTCACGCTTTTCCCTGTGGTGGGTATGCACGGAAGAGGTTACACGCCGCAAGGGTTAATCTCGAGTGGTATCTGCAAATGAAATCTGAGTGTGAGTGTTCTAAACGTCAAATTGAGTCATCCTACTTAAAGTACATATCTTCCGATAAAAACTTGCATGGGCCTCAAGGCGCCAAATCAGGATAATGAATTATTATTATTCCCTTGTGCGCTCCCTTGAGTATTGCCAGTGGAGGGCAAGACTGAACACCTGTACGCGGTGTCCTCTACGAACCTGGGAGTGAAACATTCTCCCAGAGCCAAGTTCAGTCAAATTTCGCAATACCGAACAAGTTGGCCCTCGAGGCAATGATTCAAAATACTTCACCATATCAATCTTTCATTCCCAACGAAATCGATTCCTACCTAAACCTCATCAAGTCTACAAGTACGACCTAGTACATCCTCATTCCAATGACCACACTTCTTTTCGACTTTCTTTGGCCTTAGCTGGTCGCCAGATACACGCCCACGCCGATATTTACACCCGACGGAGGAAGCAAAGCGTGGCGCACAAATCTGGAAGACAATTCCTTGGGATGGATGTGAGAGGGATCAGGACAAGTTGATAGGATGATGCAGAGGATTGGATACAGTCTCGACGGGCCTGAAATTTTGAATTTTGGCAAGGAGTTTTTACAAATTGAGCTTTGTGCGTGCCAAGACATCGGTTGCAAGAGTGCAGGCGACACTATA